ATTTCTTTCGACAAGACGCTTGGTTCTTTTAGAGGGCCCAGGGCGAACTGAATGAGGTTTTGTGCACTTCTTGCCGTCTCTGGTGAATTGTACGATCACTCTATTAACAGTAGAAAGGGGTATTGAATGTCTGTATGTGTGTGTGTATATCTATCTATCTATCTATCTATCTATCTATATATATATATATATATATATATATATATATATATATATATATTTTGCTTAGATACAATTTTGGCTTTCGTCCATTATAAGCTGAAGAAGTCAGAAAGCAGGCGCTCTCAGTAAAACGCGTCGATCTTTTTTGATTTTATACTTTGACTTAACATATATTTCTTAATATATATTTGTATATGTTTTCCTTTTATTAGCCAGTATATATATTTATATATATATATATATATATATATATATATATAAACTAAGGGTACAATAAATAAAATAACGAATCCCATTGGGATTTCTAATTCGCTCAGACTCACCTGACTGTACAGGTAATATTAATGCCTGGAGAAGGCACACCCATGTCTTAGATCACTTTCTGTGTGTATATTCACTGAATTTATTTTATATCGGCATGGAATTGCTCTCATTATGTGTTCTGTATTTTTCTAATATCTTTCGAAAGTATGACAAGATTTTTAAATTCTTTATGAATATTTACATTATTGACATTGTTCGAGATTTTGTTCTCATCTTCGTTACCATATTCACAAGGATTGGGCCGTTGTACGCCCCTGCCTTACGAGCTATGCCTCTTCCGGTTGTCTCGGTATCAGTTATCTCCCTTTGAAGAACTCAATTCTTCAAGTTTTGTTCACCTCTGCCGTAGCCAGATATTGCAATCACATCTCTTTGGCCCAGTGGATTAAAACGTTGGTTGAATCTAGCGTTTAACCCAATATATATATATATATTGAATATGGTCTATGTTAATTATGTTTTATGAATGTGTCCTGAAGTTTTAATGTTAATATAATGTCACCCGACGTTGACATTATATTAACATTAAAACAGCATAATTGCATATTAGGATTTTTGTTTTTTTTTTTCCTATATTTTTCTTCATATATATATATATATATATATATATATATATATATATATACACACACACACATATATATATATATATATATATATATATATATATATATATAGTCGAGCCGAGTTCGAATTCCAGACGAATCCATTATATTCACTTTATGTGCTAATACACTTGGGAAAGGTATGAATCATCTTCTTCTCCTCCATCTATGGGTAAATAGCAGGACAGACTGGGTTCTATAGCCTTGGATGGCAACTGGTCTAGGAGAAGGACAACTCTGAATTCAAAACCTGTGGAGGGTCGCTTGGGGACCTTGTGACACGTAGTGCACCATGTCTCTGCATTTGACCCTTCAAAAAGTGTGGATGGTCCTGCACGAAACCTTCACCACTATAATCAATTTCTCAAGGGCTGTTGTCGGGCTGTCGGTTTCCTGGGAACTGATCTGTTGACCCTCAACGTCGAATTCGACTGGGAATATATATATATATATATATATATATATATATATATATATATATATATATATATATATGTGTGTGTGTGTGTGTGTGTGTGTGTGTGTGTGTGTGTGTGTGTGTGTGTGTGTGTGTGTGTGTGTGTCAAAATTTCACTCACGTGTGAAATAAATTACTGTGTTGAAACGGCACCTATTGAAAAACACTTCAAACTTCCAAGCAAAGATAAAATGATGTCCAGCGGACATTAATACGGACAAATAAATTAAAATGATGACGACAGGTGAAACTCTCATTTCCTTCATTGATTAAGCAATGAGTTAAATAGTTCTTATATCGTCTGTGTACAATGATGTAGTTCCACAAATACGTCCTATTTGAAGTAATGTGTTGGTTATTTCCAAAAACAGACCAATGCCTATAAGACTATCATGGAACGCAAACAATTTCAACAAAATTATGCAAAATCACAAACTACAAAGGTGGAGTTGTTTGAAAATGCAGGCTAACATTAAGATATATTCAACTTTATAATGTGTATCTCTCGTTACAAATCTCAAGAGCCACCCAAGCTAGAGTGTTATTAAATTAAAAATAACAATATTAAAAGAAAAAATATATTTCAAATAATCTGCTTTCTTACTCTACATTTAAAAATGCTGACGGTTTACAGTCACATCATTTTGAAACACCGGTAACCTTACACTTCAGCGAAGTTAAGGAACATCAAACCTGAACAATACCTAGATGGGGGACCGCTTGGGAATTCCAGCTACTACGTTATGCTTATCGTATTATGGGATTACGGGACATATTAGGTGTTGTAAGCTTTGTTTCGAGTTTGATGTAATGGGCTTACAGCTCGCATCACGTTGAAACACGGGTACCGTATGATCAGAGACGTTAAGCAACGTCGTACCTGGGTGGCTGCTTGGGAATACCAGGTTCTGTAAGCTTGGATGTGCGCAGGTGTGAAGTAGCTCAGTATTACTAATCGTGAAACCGAGTTCCAATTCCACTTGGGTTCACTATATTCACTTTGAGCGAAAATATCCTTGTTAAAACATTTCACAGATATTTACTTTCTTGTTCTTGTTAGATTGTTGTGTCACCAATTAGTAGCTCTTTTCTAACGCCATTTTTGTCCCTGATGACAATACATTATGTTTTCTTACAATTGATGCTTAGTCCTTTCTTCTAGCTTTCCTTTACTACATTCTCTAGAAGTTCCTGTTATTTCCTTTCGATGTTTGCCATCAACACTGTGTCATCTGCATATGATAATATGTGACGGACAGTAATAAATTGTGGCATGACTTGTAAATATTTTCATCATCGCCTCAGATTAAAATTTGAAAAGATTCGGTAAGTAATAAGAAGTAGAAATGCAACAACACGCCGGCTATCATTGACAACGATATGTTAAAGATACATGGAAATTGAACGTTTATCGGATTAATTTTTAGATGACAAACAGGCATTTTAATTTACTTGCTACATGGTCTAACAGGCCCCATATATATATATATATATATATATATATATATATATATATATATATATATATATATATATATATAAATAAAACAAAACATTTAGGTCAAACCTACATAGTTTTCACCTACGCGTAAGTGAAACCTAAGTAGGTTTGTCTGGCTCTTTAGGTTTACTTCGTTTGCTCTTATTAGCGTATTGAGCACTTTGCTTAGTTATTTTTATTTTACACGTGTCGGAGTTTTTTTTCTTCTTTGGACTCTGAACTTAGATTCTAGACGATTATTTTCGCCGGAAGTCCATGTTATTAGTTGTTTCTTTTATTAGCCTTTTTTCCCTTGGGTATTGGTTTGGTAATTTACAAGGTAAAACAACTAAGTTTTTGCCGGACGAGTATAGCTGCTTATACTTATAAGATTAGTAGTGATATATATATATATATATATATATATATATATATATATATATATATATATATATACTGGGAAAAATTTACGACATACGAGAAAAAAATTGTAACGCGGTTCGTTGTCTAGGGCTTATCCGATGAAATCCTTTGAGGACGAAATATATATATATATATATATATATATATATATATATATATATATATATATATATATATAAAAAGTCTCAAAAACTAACATTAGTGTTTATATTCTTACTCTGTCCTGGACATTGAGTGATGTCTGGATTCTATCCTCTTGGCAATTTATATATATATATATATATATATATATATATATATATATATATATATATATATATATATACCATATGACGATCCGCCTAGGTGAAGCCTGGGTAAGATTATCTAGCTCTTTAATTAGGTTTAATTAGGTTTGCTCTACTTAGCGTATTCAGCAATTTTACTTACTTGTATCGTATTTTTTTTTCTTTGGACTCTGAACTTGGATGCTAGACGATTGTCTTCGGCTGGCGTACATGTTTTCTGTTCGTTCTTTTTTTAACCTTTTTCCCCCTTGGGTATTGGTTTGTTTATTTACATATCTAAGTACCCAAGGCTTTTCCGGACGAGTATTTCATATTTTATAAAATTATTACTATATATATATATATATATATATATATATATATATATATATATATATATATATATATCACTAATATTATCAATATCTATCTATCTATCTATCTATCTATCTATCTATATATATATATATATATATATATATATATATATATATATATGTATGCGTTATATGGACGTAGTTTTTTAGAATAACTTTTTAGAACGTGCATATGAAGATTGTGTTGCGTCTATCTTCTCAGGGTGGGCAACGACCAGATTTAAATTTAATTTTTTTTTTTTTTTGGCAACCGGACATTGAACATTAACTCTGGAAGATATGCGGAATTATTCTCCCGCCAAGCTATCAGCGCCCACCCGCCTCCATTTAGGAAACTTGTTTGGCCCGAAGCATTGAGTAGACTGACAGAAGCCCCTGTTTACACTATTAGCGATAGTCTTCACGACTTTCTTGTTAAATACAATTGAACTTCGGAGGCCATTTCTAATGTAATGTCCATTCATTGATAGATATAAATTTAATCAGACGTCCTCAAATGTACCATTCTCCTACCATGTATCTTTTATGCTCCATACACACACACACACACATATATATATATATATATATATATATATATATATATATATATATATATATATATATATATATATGTGTGTGTGTGTGTGTGTTGTGTGTGTGTGTGTGTGTGCAAAATAAGTTGAGAATACTTATTTGTATGAATAAATTCCGAAAATCAATGCCATAAAATGATCTTAGCGAATATAAATCGTTTTTCTGCCAAACTGGGTGGGTATTGTAATCTATGAAAATGTCAAAATTCGTGCGCCGGTGTCAGAGCTCAGATCGTACAGCCAAGGGTCATGCACGCAAAGAATTGGGCCTGTGTCAAAAATCGGGCAAATCACTAAATTCGAAAACTTGTATTTTATTGTGTCGCGTCAGAGTCGGAGTTCAGACGTTGGGATGGAAGAAGCCGGGGACGCCGGGGACGCCGGGGAAATTGGGAAACGAACGAACGGTAGTAAGAACAGGGTGGCGAGGTTGGATCGGTAGCCGAAAATAAACGAACGAATCCCAAAGGTAGAAAGTAGACAATTGCGCCAATATTCTGGTATTTGCAGGATTCTCGCTTAAAAGAAACGACAGGTAACAAAGAAAAGATAAAAAGATCAGTTCATTAGATTACTGAGATCGATCCCAGCTACAGTCACTTCCCACCGTCGTAACGTAACTTTCTCTTTAACTTTTCTCTTAATATATTCTTGATAATTTTTCTGGTGAGCTTTCCTCTTTGGCATCCCGTCTACACAAATTTAAGCGAAGTAATAAATTGCATGGGGACACACGATGACGTAATAAATTGCATGGGGACGCACGATGACGTAATAAATTGCATGGGGACGCACGATGACGTAATGGACAGCGGCTCGGATTGAGGAATCAGCGAGCCATTTTGGGAAAGTTATAAATCCTCTGCTCCCCACCCCCAGCTTTCTGTAGGGTTCTGTAGCTTTGGATGGCAACTAGTATACCGCAGAAAGATACATGATCGCCTAAGCGTGTATCACGCATGACACATAACTGTCTGAAATTCACTTACGTGCTAGTACCCTTTCGAAAGATATGAATCCTCTTCTTCACATACCCCCCAGCTATAGATAAATAGCAGGACAGACCGGGTTCTATAGCCTTGCATAGCAATGGTCAACCGCAAAAAGAAATGGCAACCAACTGCGAAAAAATCTACGTCCTCAATCAGTAGTCGAAAGATATATGATCAGCTAAGCGTGTATCAAGCATGGCACATAACTGAGTTAATTTCAATACGTGGTAGTAATTTTGGGAAAGGTATGAATCCTCTATGGGTAAATAACAGGACAAACCGCGTTCTATATAGCTTTGGATAGTAACTGGTCTACCGCAAAAAGAAATGACAAAGTAATGCGAAAAATATATCCTCCTCGTCAGTCAGGTATCGAAAGACTGACTGACTAAATTCCCAGAGATGTCCCATCAATTTAAAGTTGAATATTTTAGAAGTAACCTACGCGAATATTTTAGAAGTAACCTAATAGTTTCTTCTCGCTAGTGGAATCTTCTTTCACGTTCTTTCACGTCTTCTTGCACGGAGGCAATCATGGCTCTCTACTATGACGCTAAAAAAAAACTGTGTTTCTTTCTTATTTCTCAGTATCTGTCTATATTTCTGAGATGAGGTATTATGTACATTATTGTCCTCACCTTTGTCGCCATATTTATCACAACGTTTCGGCCGTTGCACGCTCCGGCCTTCTCGAGGTGGTTGGAATGTCGAACTGAACCCTTTATTTCGCTCACTGGGGTAGACTGTTCTAGTTCCACGTGCTATGTTTCATGGATGTCAGTTATCATTTATCTCCAGTTAATTTCCCTCTGAAAGTTCTCCACTGGCTTAACCGGGTATTGAACTCACACACATTTGGGTCCATTATCCACTGTGCCATTTGTCCTTACTGACATCTGTGTATGAATTTCTGGGTATTATAAACCTAATATCTTCAGCAACCATTTTTATCAGTGCTCATCTTGCAATTTTTGCAGTTAACATTTTATGTTTTTACCAGAGCTCATATTGCAACTTTTGTTGTTATTATCGCTTTTCTCTGGCACTCCTTATTACTGGTTCCCATATTGTATTCATTTCTATGCTTGGTCGGCTCAGGAGATTTTTGTGGCCTAGCATATGTGCTGATTCTTAAAGTTTACGAATTTTCCAATATTCTATGATCTCAACCTGATCCGACAGAGGGCGGTGATCTCCCTTCTCTCTCCATATGTGGTCAGCTACGCCTGATTTTTCAACTTCTCCTCGTGTTACAGCTTTCTGGTGTTCTTGAAGCCTTAGCTTAAGGAGGCGGCCGGTCTCCCCTTTATATTTCTTTCCGCAGCTGCACGGGACAGCGTACACACAGTCTTTAGTCATGTTCTCCTCTTGATCCGCCAGCCACTTATTCAACCTAAGTGAGCAGCTGATGCGATATATCCCTCTATCCCTATTGTCGTCAATCTGCTCTGTGAGTATCAGATTTTCCAAGCCATCTTTCCTCGTTATGTGCCCTAGAAAATCCGAAATGTATCTTCCTGATGTTAAGTATAAGTTTCCTTTTTGTTTACATTTTCTCTAAAACATCTTTTATGTACCTGTGTCTCTTCAAAACGTAGGCGATCACGGCTCTCCACCTCCTCCATGTAGCTTTCAAAAAGTTTTGTCTTTCTGCCAGTCCCTCTCCTCCCGTCAACTTGCTTAAACCCGTCAATCATGTGACGCGTTCCTTTCTCTTTTCCCTCTTTTTCTCTATCCGTACTGTGAGTATCAGATTTTCTAATCCCTCCTTTCTCATATTATTTACATCACTTGTATTGTTATCCTCATTGCCATACTCAGTTGTTTTCCATTTAACTCTCCAGTTCTGTTTCATGCCTTGTATGGAACTCCTGTTCTTTCTCAAATGTATAATAAATGCTTCGGTACCTCCACCTTTCCTGTCTTTTGGAAGTCATCGTCCATTGTTCCAGTTTTTAAGAACTTTGCTGAACTTTCCAAACCAACCAACTATCAGCCTATAAGCATTCTATGTCTTTTGTGGAATCTCTTAGAGGACCTAATCAACGCTGAATTGGTTCATCATCTCTCATCGTAGGGACTTTTCTTTTTTTTGTTTCCCGATCAACTGCTAATGTGCTAACGATAATTGCGGAAAGAGCCTGTCATACTTTAGATGAAAAACGATGAAGCCAGGGCTTGTAGGATTAACATCTCGAAAGCCTTTGACAGGATCTAACATTCAGGACTTCTCAAGCTGAAAGGTTACGGTCTCTCCGGACACATTTTGAAGCTGATCCAGTCGTTCCTATCAAATCGTGAAATGAAAGTTGTCCTGAACAGCCACTAATGTACATTATTTGTACTAACGCGGGTGTCACCCGAGGGCCATATCCTTGGTCCTACGCTGTTTTTAATCTTTATTAACGAACTTTCCGATGACATCAGCTCTCAAGCTAACATCTACGCTGTTGTGTCAGAAACCTACCACCCCTCTTGAAGATGAACTTGTCTGCCTCTGTGAACAAAGACTTTAAATAGTGGCATGTCAGTTGACATGGGGAAGACAGATAGACAGAGAGGGTAAGACCTCCTAGTCTATCTGAGTCGTGATACAGTCTTTGACTGTAAGCGACGTCTGTCGCACTCTCTGCGTTAGCAGAGAGGAACCCGGACGAAGCTTTGCCGAAGGGAAAAGGTTTCGTCCGGGGATGTAGACAGGGCCTGAACCCGTCAAGGCGGCTTCAAAGGCTATATTTTTGGCCGAGCCTACGGGCTCGGAGATACCCATATTAAACTCGGCCTTGTGCCACATTCAATCCTCGTGGGGGGATCGATAAATACTAAGACAGATAGACCGAGAAGTTCTTAGCTGAGCTAGTTATTGACTACTCAGCCGATTTCTGTACCTTTTTACCAACATATTAAAACCCTTTTATCGTTACGTGTTATTTGGCGCTTGTCTCTACTAACCACAAATCAACATCATAACATACGCATTTACTCCTGATTCGATAATAAGCTTGATCTGTCCGACAAGTTAAAAAATAACAATTAGGCTTCAAAACGAACTCAAGAGCGTCGTTAATTGGAACAAAAGTTGGTTTGTGAATTTTAACGCTTCCAAAACTAAACTTCACTCCATTAATCATCTGAGAGATCCCTCTCTGCCTATCATCAGCATGGACGATTCTAACATCCAGGTAACTGACTCGTTGCACCTTCTCGAGCTAACATACTCAGCTGATACGAAGTGAAAGAACAATGTTGAATACATTGCAAGGTCAGCTGCTAAAAAAGTCGATGTTCTGTGCCGGGCCTGAAATTTTTTCTCCTGCATACCTATAAGTCTACCATTCGCTCATATTACTGCCATATATGGTACGGTACCTCTGATGATTACCTGGATCTCCTTGATAAAGCGCAAAGAAGAATCACCAATATTATTGGTCCTGAGCTGGCTGCTCGGCTTCAGTCACTTACCTACCGCCGTAAGGTTGCTACTCTGTGCCTTTATTTTTTTTATAGATATATCATAGTAATTGTTTAGATGAGCTTTACGGTATGGTACCTAGCCTGTGTGAATTTAAGCGCTATACAAGACTGGCAGCGAGATCGCATCAATTTACAGTTGAGCTGGCTTGATGTAGCCGTAGATTCTATGCTAACAGTTTCTTATTTCACACTTCTCGTCTGTGAAACTCCCTTCCGGCCCCATGCATTCCAGCCAACTTTAATCGGCAAAGATTTAAAGGCAATGTCAATAGCTATCTACTGTTCTCCTGATTGCTGTTTTTTTTTTTTTCTAATCATTACACATGTTTATATTCCTAATTTCTTCACACCCTGTAACCCCTTCTCCATTTGTTGCTCTACTGCCTTTCTTGGGGAGGGGGTACTGATTTTTAAAAAAAAAAATCAATTACCCGCATATATAGGGTAATTGATTAGTAATTACGTATTTTATGGCCAGCCAGGTGACCTGACTTCTTTTTTTTTTTCCTCCATGGGGTTGGTTAAAGAATCAAGTCATCTATACCAAACCGGTACACTGGAAGAACTTGAAAGGCAGAAGATATGTCTTCCATACCACAATAGTTCCTGGTGAAATAAGTTGGCGCGATTCCTAGCGGCTTGAGAAGCTGGTGACCGCACAGAATTCTAAATAAACCTCATGAGAAACGCTTTTCTCTCTCATATCAATTTCTTGTAAAAATTATAGCTATATAAATTATAAGTATTTTAAAATGTGGAATTACATTTCAATGAATATATATATATATATATATATATATATATATATATATATATATATATATATATATATATATATATATATATATATATATATATATATATATATATATATATATATATATATATATATATATATTTCACGTTACTGTGTTTTTACAATTAAATTATTTCAATTAAATATTTATTTCAATCTGGGTCAGAACACAGTGCTTGA